AATCTCATGAAACTTGTTCTCATATCTGCCACTATGGAAATTCCAGAGGAGGTTGTAGGACTCACAGTTAAGCTCAAAGAGGCAGAAGAATTTTTTATTTTATGAAGGTCTGTATCATCTGCTCATGCAGCTGTTCTGGTGCTAACTTCAGAGAACTGATATTAGAGTCATCTCCTTAGATATCTTGGAATTAGTAGGGAAACAGGACCAAAACTCCCAAAGTCTATTTTTATTTTGGTCATTCGCTTGTTGTAACATTTAGCATCTGCCATAATTTTTTTGTTCTGCTGCATTTCCAACATGAAGAAAGTTACGGTCTCCTTATCTTACTTTTTGAAAGAGGCGTTGTGGTAGGCTAATCCAGATATGCGAAAGGTCTGATCTGATTCCTCTGGCAGCAGTGTGGTTCATAATTTGCTTTGCAGTTTTGGAGTAAGGAAAGTCTGTGATTCGATTTGACTTGCCTGTATTTCTGTAATCTGTTTCCCTGGCAGAGAGGGACTGTAGAAAAACTGGGAAGTAAGCCCATTCTAGATAAGTTTGTCAGGTATTTCTGCCTGTGGAAAAGGGGAGGAGGAGGGGTATTTTCCGATCCTTTCAAATCAGGAAAAAAATGTGATACCTTAATATTGTTGCTATGAAACACTGAACAGCCAGGAACTGTTTGGGGCCTGGAGTTCAAGGTCTTTGGCTTGCCTAGTTCTATGGCAAACTTTAAAAAGCATCAGTCTTGTATTAAAGATACAGGGAAAGTAGGGAAGAAAAAATTAAAATCACTTAATATATTAATGAGTGTTTCTGGTTTTAATAGCTTCCATTCTTGCTACCTAAAACTAAAGATGTCTTCATAGGTGAATATTGTCTGATTGTAATTTTAAGTATTGTTGAGGATGATGGTAACTATCCTCAGAGAAGGAAAAGTTGGAAAGTTCAGGTTTTGAGTTGGAATTGCTGTTGTTTTATTTTTTGCCTTCAAAGAAATTGAATCGGCCTCCACAAATAATAGCCAACATAAAACTGCACAGAGCTCCAAACAAGCATTGTAACTCTTCATATATGGTGTTGATCTTTGCTTGTAATGTCACTTCTGCAGAAAGACAAGCATAGCATACAGTCTTGTCAGCTACTCAAGACCTCACAAATGCAGACTATTGACAGGTTGGGACGATGCTTTCAACTCTACCTGTCCCGTTAGAGGCTTTCAGCAGCACAGCAGAAGAAGCAGTTCTGTATAGGGAAGCCAAACTTTTCTGCATCCTGTTTAAAACTGAAAAAGTAGAAGGAAAACTGTATGAGAGGTGGGATGCAAGCAGAGAAACAATTTTCATGTTCTGAGTGGTCTCTGGAGGTGTCAGTGTCCTCTGGCTCCCCCTCCTTCCCTCTGCCCGGGAACCCGGCTCTGAGGATGCTGTTGCTGTAGGGTGCAGTATCAGACTTTGGCTTTTCCAGCTTATATGCCCTATTGATCCTGGTGTCCAAAGACTATAAGATCTTCCCATCAAATTTTGGATGAAATAACATGAAGATCATCCAATGAGAGCTTAACTTCAGGTGTGCTGATTTGGTCCTTATTTGTAGGCCTGTGTTACTTCTGCCTCTCTCACATGATGGGAATGGGGTCCATGGGCAGCATATCAGTACACCTTTTTCTTTTGGTTTATGACTTTTTTTATTTTTAACGTTTCTCCATATTAGGCTGAGTTAAGATGTTAGCCTTTATGCAACATTGCTGCTGTCTTGTTTTTGACAAATCAAGCCCTTGGAATATAACCCTTGGCAGCCGTGTGGGTTGAATGCTGAAGTGTATAACTTTCTGTGCTGGCTGTAAAACACCACACTGCATCCAACTAAATAAGTGTCAACTCTACTGTATATGCTGCAGTACCAGAAAGATATTGGTGTATGGGTTGTGTCCTATCCAAATGTGATAGACCCATGTCATTGTCTTATGCAAAGGTATACCTGTGCGTTGTCTTTTATTTAACGTTTGGAAGGAAAAGAGAGGAAATTTCCAAAAAGTGAGCTTCACTGGCAGAATTTCTCTTCTATGCTCCATTCTCAAATGTGTCGTAAATGTTGATGTTGATCTAGCAACTTGCAGAGGTGCTACTAACTGCCTTGGCAG